AGGTGAGAGCAGAAATATCCAGACGAGCTAATGAGCTAGCATTAGCTGTTAGCGGCTAGCCTGAAATATAAGTAGTGTATTCTAGGCGCATGGTCGGTGCTAATGCTAGCCTGCCAGGCTTTAGAGCCAGCTGTCAGTCTCTTTATCTCTAGGTATATGTTCTAATCCTCTATGTAATAATAAAATTTACTCTCACAACGACCTCATTAATGTCTGAGTTTCTGAGAAATCCAATGCATTATCTGCTTTTAGCTTCACAGTGAAGTGCATACCGAAATCTCTACCAGCCAAATTTGTTACAGCTATTTTAATGTGTTTGTCTTTTTTTTCTTTTGGTGCTATTTGGAAATAAAAGTTTAATACTGGACTCCTTCCAAAAGCAGTTTATACATTTGTTATTATATATTGAGTATATTGTGCTATTTACAGGCTACAGAAGCATAAAATTGTTTTAAGTTCACAACTGAAACAAACTTTTTATATGGTATATGAAGCAGCAGGAAAAGTACAAACCTATATTTATAAAAACCTGCAGATTCAGTTTAATACCTTGTTATTAAAATTAGTTTGCCGATTGTTTCTCCTTAAAAACCCGGAGCATCTGTGGTTTATTTTAAATAACGTTGTGTTATTGTTGACTGGTGAATTGTTCACAATAATGCTGAAAACAGTTCTTGATATTTACATGTGAATATTTTCTTTTGACTGTATTTATTGTTGTAAAATTGTGGTGAAAATAAATCATTTAGTTTCATATTCCTTAACTAAATGATCAATAAAAACATTTACCAGGTAAGACGGTTGCCTTTTTTATTTTTAACTTTATCGTTCAGAATAGTACTCCATTTCTAATTTTTTCAGATTTTACTAAATCATCTTTACATATAAATACATCAGTTGTAAATTAGAAACAATAGCCAACATTCAGTACTTGAGAAACCTCCCAGGTGCCTGCAACCAGAGCTGCAGCAGTCATACAGAAATACTAGTGTGGAGAAAACTCAGATGGAAGTCTGAGAAGACCAGTTGCATACCAGTGGGTTTTTCTTAGAATTATATTGTGCAAAACTGGAATTTCTTCAGCATTTCATTGGCATGTAAGGCTCCAGTGTCGCAGTTACATAACTCGGTAGGATTTCTGTTGCAGCTGTGTAGAGCGCTGAAACCCAGATGTCTGTCTCAGTGTGACCTTCGTCATTGTGTCTTGCGGTTCACTGTGCAGTCCTCTCTGATCAGGCACATGGACGTGTCTGATAGCACAGACACGTGCTGTCAGAATAGATCCATGTGTTTGCTCTCTCATTTGTTTAGTGTTGTCATTTGTTTTGAGTGCTTTGTTTACCCAAAAGCACTCTGTCGCAAACCCCGTTTTAGCATCACCGATCAAATGTTTTAAATAAAGCTTCAGCGTCAATTTTATTTCTATAACATGTTTCATTACATGTACACTCAGTGTGCTTACCAAAAGAGATTAAAGGTTCACAATGCATTAAGAGAATTTAAAAAAACAACAACACAGAGTTAAAACACAGCGTTATGTGTAGGTGTGTGAAAATAAAAAGGAAAATGATTAATTATGTTGTGCACAAGCAGGAATGATAGTTGTTGGTTCTGGCTCATTTAAAAATGTAATTTTTTTTTTTCTTCAGGATATGTCAAGATTCCCTCAATTATCAATTTTTACTGAATGAATAATCAATAGTATGAATCGGTCAGTGGCGAAAATAATTGTTAGCTGGAGATGTTGAAGTATTGGACATTGCTGGCATCTATGCAGCATATGCTCTACTGCAGTTGAGGCCTTGTCTAAATGAATTAAGCACACCTTTGTTGGTTAAGGATCTTCACTCTGTTATGATTTTAATGAGCTTATATAAATTATAACCTTTGACTTCATTAGTTGCAACATATAAAGAGAATGTCTTCTAATTTTTAATCCTCAGATGAGTTGAAAAAGTGAAAGCTACGCCGTCTAGAAGGTCGAGAGCTCCACAGATCAGTCTGTGGTGCTGAAAACTTTCTTTTCAGAGCCTTATGCTCAGAAACCTACATCATGGTTTTATTTGTCAGTGGTGCAGGAAGTATTTGTTCATCAGTGTTTAGGTCAACAGCCAAATATTTCCATCAGTTGGTGTTTGGTAGTGATGAATAGTAGTTCCATATTAAAAAACACTTTCTCTCCCCTGCAGGCCCCTCGGCTAGCAGAGAAATACTGCGTTTGCCACCTGGCTACTGGAGACATGCTGAGGGCCATGGTGGCTTCAGGCTCCGAGCTCGGCAAGAGGCTTAAGGAGACGATGGATTCTGGCAAACTGGTAACTGCTCTTCTATTCATGATCTCTCTATGAACTTTTCTTCCTGTCCCTTTGTCTCCTCTGAGGTTTTTATTGACTTTGCAGCT